ACTTGCTGAACAGGAGGACCACGTGGTGACATCGGATCATCTATCGTAACAGAAGGTCGAGTGACTCGCCCTCTACCACGTCCACGTCCTGTCCTACGACCTCTAGCAGCATTCATAGTTGGATCTATAAGGCTCTACAGAAAGAATTTGAAACATATGTCAGATTAGCATCAGGGATCTCGAGAAAACTTTAAATCATAACTAAGGTGACATGTTCTTTTTTTTCTTAAAAATTCAAAGTTTAGGACCCATATTTAGTCCGAGTGTTTAAAACCGAAAGCTCTGATACCACCAAATGTAACCCCCTAGACCCGGTCTGTGAGTTAGACTCAAACCTAAGTGGTCACATATCCCATTCAGAGGTTTTTTTTAATATCTTACAATACATTATATTAATAATACATATATGTCCAAAATTATAGCAAATACATGTCACCAAACATAACTGAAAAACATATAGAAATATATGTTCGTACAAAATAAGTAGTTGATTTCCACTGATGCCAAATATGCTAGCTTACTGTCTGCTACTATCTGAAAAAGGGTAAAAACTACAGAATGAGCTAAAAAGCTCAGTGTGCTCCATACAGTATATAAGAAAAATATACAGATAAAATCTTTCAATGAAATCGGTTTATGCAATATGTTTTTGTTTTTATTTTTAAAACATGAACACTACCCCCATCCGTTCACATCATAATTGTGTAGGTTCCCCAGAACCATACACCCAACCGCACATGCCATTTAGACCCTGAGCACAAAGCCGAGAAGTCTGCAGATAATCTTCCTTCAACAATACCCCCCAAATGACAATGAATGTATTCAATTGAAAACAATGATTAATCACTTAAAACATAACAAATATTTCATACTTAGAAACCATATGCAGAAATACGGAAATCAGAATTCAAATCAATAATTCAGATATCAGATAAGCAGATCTCAGAAATCGGTATGAAATACCTTAATTCAGAAATTATATCAGAATATACAGCAAATCAAATATCAAATACTCGGTATTCAGATAAATTATTTAAATCAGTAATATAATACTGTTAGGAAACACACCTGTAACAGTCTAAGAAATCAGATAGGGAAGCCTATTACTGGGTATGTCGATCACGTTCTGCTGCAGCGCTAGACCCTACGAATTGGAAAAATCCATATTGGAATCCTAATATAAATAATCTAAATATTATTTAAATAATATACGGAAACCTACGGGTAATTCTCGTAGTACGCGATTCAGGCTGATCTAACGAACGGATAATACCGGACCTAATTGATCCTTGCTCAGGTGAAACACGAGTACCTTCATAAAATATTTTATTGAAAAATATCCTTTACCAAATCTCATTTAAATAATCAAAATATTAAAATATTAAGCCTTTTGGGTTTACAAGCTCGATTCGGGAATTTCGGGTCAGAATTTGGCAAAACGGACTTCGGAATCAAATTCAGGACGTCGAAAAACATAAAGTATGACCATCTGAAAATTCGAATTCTTGGTCAAAATTAAAGTAAACGGTTTGGCTGACCATTTGGAGACTTTCGGGTTTGAATTTAGCAAAACGGACCCCAAAAACGGATTCGGGACGTCGAAAACTATCAGGATAGGTATTCTCGGTCGAAAACAAAGGTCGTTTAATAGCCGGTCAAAGTTCTGGTCAAAGGAGGTCAACAAACTGTCAAACATTTTACACAAATAGTATCATTTTCGAATTAATTCCCAAAATATCATTTTGTTTCGAAAATTACTATAATAGCACCCATTTCGAATTAATTCCCAGAATAGCACCAAAACCGAATTAATTCCCAGAATAGCACCGGTCAACGGTCATCGGTCATCGGTCAACGGGTCGGGTCAACGGTCGGGTCGGGTAAACTGGTCGGGTCGGGTAAACGGGTCGTGACCGGTCAAACCCGGTTCAAAACCGGTTTCCAGCGTTCACTCGCCTGCGGCGGCGCGTGGGGCGCGTGCGACGTCCTCCAGGGCTCTAAAAATCATGGAAAAATTTCTAAAAATTTATTTTGAGCGATTTCGAGATACTTACAAAGATTGGTTCAAATTTTTGAACGGCTGAGAGCTCGATTTTGACTCGGCCGAATCTTTGACTGATCCACCTCCCCAAGCGCCGCCGTCAACGGAGGTCGAGGATGACACCGGCGGTCTCGGAACGGCACAAGGAACACGATGGTGCGGGAGGTGTCGTAAACGGAGCAACGATCGGCGATGAATTTAGGATTTTTCTAGGCGATTGAGCTAAAAAAACGTCGATGCTTTGACTTGAAATTCACGGCGTTTGGAAGCGTTTCGCTTCAATTAAATTGAAGGGTTTGTTCCTCGCTCGATGATGAACACGATGGTGGTTTTTAAATGACGATCGGAATTCAGACGGCGTCGGGATCGTCGTCGGAAGTTGAGGTTGGGAGAGGGAATTTGGGAAGAATTGGTTTCTGAAATCAGAAACCAATTCACGTATATAACAGCCCTTACCTAACATTTTAGGGTAAATTCAGGGCTTGGTCCCTGAATTTTCTTTAACTCTTAAACAAGCTTCAAGTTTTAAAAACTTCCAATTTAGTCCCCAAATTTTCACCAATTACTCAATTAAAACCTCAATTCCCAATTAAATATTATTTTAAAATTTTCGGGTTGTTATAATTGTACTACCCAAAAAGTAATACACATTGTTTCTTTTCCAGATTCCCCTTCATTATCACCAGTGCACCAGAGATAATCTTCATAATCCCATCTTTTGCCCTCACTTCTAAACCTTTTGACTCTAAGGTTCCTACAGAGATGAGATTTCTCATTAAATCTGGTACATAATGGACACCTGTTAAGGTTCTGATTGATCCATCCTGATACCTCAAGCGAATTGAACTAATCCCAAGTGTGTCAAGAGGGGAATTATTTGTTGTGTAGACAATTTCACCTTTTAGTTCTTTAAAATCAAAGAACCATTCTCTATTGGGGGTCATATGGTGGCTACAAGCTGAATCTAACAGCCATGAACTGGAACAGATGGTTGATGGCGTAGCAGCGAATGAGAAATCTGAATCTGCATCATCATACTCGACCACATTTGATTCTGAGACAGCCTTTCCCCTTTCAGGTTTGCCTTTGTTCTTTAGCCTGGGACATTTTTTCTTCCAGTGTCCTTTTTCTCGACAAAAAACACATTCATCTTTGCTCAATCTGGACTTTGACTTCGATCTCCCTCTCCTTCCTTTATTATGACTCTTCGAACAACCTCTAACAACAAGAGCTTCTGCTTCGACACTTGTGTTTTCTTGTTTGTCTTTCTTTCTCAATTCATAACTATACAAGGCAGCAGTTACTTCACTGAGAGACACATCAACTTTCCCATGAAGTAGAGTAGTTTCAAGATACTCAAACTCATCAGGAAGTGATCCCATCAACATCAGAGCCAGATCTTCGTCTTCAAAAGTCACGTCCATATTCATCAGATCAGTCACCAGCTGATTAAAGCTAGTAATGTGATCATTCATATTGGTACCTGGTACATAGTTGAAGCGGAATAATCTCTTTTTCATGTAGAGCTTGTTTTAACCGCTTTTCTTCAAAAATTTCTCCTTCAATGTCTTCCACAATTTACTTGCAGAAGTTTCCTTAGAAAATGCATACATATGCTCTCTAGAAAGACACGATCGAATAGTACCACATGCCAATCAATTGATCATCTTCCATTCTTTCTCCTCAACATCATTTGGTTTCTCTCCTTCAATAGCAATGTCTAGACTCTGTTGAAATAGGGCATCTAGAACCTCACTTTGCCACATGCCGAAATGACCGGTGCCATCAAAAATCTCCACTGTAAATCTAACATTTGTCACAGCTGTTGACGACGATGTGGATGTTTTTGTTGCGTCTGCCATTTCTGCTACAAATTCTATTTAATAGCTGTCAATGCGGAATGCCAATTATCCCAAGGAAATTTTTTATGATGTGGAAGATCAGCCTAAGCCGCAACCACAGAGCATACTAAAATAAACCAAGAGCGTTGATATCAATTGTTGTGAAATCCGAGTTAATTTCCACAAATAATAACAAATTCACCTTGAAAACTATTATCTAGGTGACTAGTGTGAAAACAATTGTATTAAAAATCACACCAAGGTAGATTCCCAGGAAAGAGGAGGGGTCACAATGCTCCCTCTTAAAACCCACTTTCCTTAGACAGAACTACCAAAACAAGTAATTTTAATAAAGACAATAATCAACAACAACTATACCCGACAATAGCTATTAAATAGACATAAAGAGAACAACAAAATTTAACGAGGTTAGGCCAAAATTATGCCTACCTCCTCGAACACTACTAAAATAATATTTTACTAGTAGAGGAAATATTACAAAGAGAGAAAGAGTACAAATAGCCTTTAATAGTGAAGAATGTTTTATATTTGTGGGATGTTTAACTAAGGAGGATGATGGCTCTATTTATAACAAAAGAATTTCTCCTCCTCCTTATACACAACCAATATGGGACTTTGCCAAAAAACCAACATATCAAAGATCAAGAACAATCGTTTCAACATATTCTTTAATTCATGTGGATCGAAACCTACTCTCTATACTATTATATTTTTATTGAGATTAAGACTAAAATTTTATTTCACATCAAAACGACACATTGTGATATATCTTTCAATCCATTGACCAACACTTACGAACGCTTCTTGTAGGCGGCTAATGGGCCATCCATTCAACAGATTATCTGCTATGCAAAGAAAAATCAAGTGACAGAGATGCAGTTTGTCGGAATTTAATACTAGCATTTAAACAATACTTCCGTTTTGTTCGAAGTCTCATGAAAAAATTGACTTTTGGACAACCCATCTTCGAAGGCAGTTATATAAAATACTTGTAGTCTCTGTCTTTATAGTCATTGATTGCATTTCAAATGTTCAATAAAATGGAATGTGTAATTAGTTCTGCTAGCAATGAGCAATTATACTAAACATCCATGCAAATGGGTTTCTATTTCTACAGTGCTTGTCGTTTCCTCATCGTCTTCTCAAAAGCTTCAACTGCAGTTGACACCATTTCTCCATCAGAGTCGCTCACTGATTCCATGACCTTAGTCTCCAGTGAAGGAAACTTTGTGTTAGGTTTCTTCTCTCCGGGCACTTCCAGGAACAGCTACCTGGGAAACTGGTTCAACAACATCCCCATGCACACTGTTGTTTGGGTTGCAAACAGGATAAACCCAATAAACGATTCCTCTGGCTCGTTGAAGATAGAAACTAGTGGCAGAATTGTGCTTCAAGTTCAGAACACAACAGCTGTTTGGTCGACTAATACGACAGCAAGTGTTCAGAATCCAGTACTGCAGCTCCTGGATTCTGGTAATCTTGTTGTCAGAGATAGAAACGATAGTAACCAGGATAATTACTTATGGCAAAGCTTTGATTATCCAGCAGATACAAATTACCAGGGATGAAAATTGGTGTTGACTTAAGAACTGGCTTGGATCGAAGACTCGCATCCTGGAAGAACTGGGATGATCTATCTCCAGGTGATCTTACTTATGCTGTAGAACTTGAAGGAAGCCCATAATTGGTGCTAAGGAAAGGCTTAGAAAAGTACGCCCTGAGTGGGTTATGGATTGGCAATGCATTTAGTGGGGCATCAACTTACAGGTCGAATCCGTTCTTCGATTATGACTTGTGTGGAACGAAAATGATGTTTACTACATATATTTCCTCAGAAACCAATCAGAAAAGTTGAGGAGTGTTATGAACCAAACCCAAACTCAGTCACAAAGTTACACATGGATCCCGAAAACTCAATCCTGGCAGCAATTTCTAGGTTTGCCAATCGACTATTGTGACAGATATGGACTTTGTGGTCCGACTGCGAACTGTGATAGCAGTAAGCTTCCTGCATATCAATGTTTTAAAGGGTTCAGGCCTAAATCGCCCGAGAGATGGAGCTCATTGGATTATTCTGGAGGGTGTGTACACAGCAAGCCATTGAACTGCCAGAGTGGGGATGGTTTTATCAGAGTTGATAATGTGCAAACCCCAGACACCACGAATTATTGGGTTAATAGAACTATGAATCTCAGGGAATGTAGAGACAGGTGCTTGAGGAACTGTTCTTGCATGGGATACTCTAATTTAGACATTACAAGAGGAGGTAGCGGCTGCGCCATGTGGTTCGGTGATCTGCTTAATATCAAACAATTGCAATCAGAGGGTCAGGATCTATATGTTAGAGTGTCTGCTTCAGATGCAGGTACTGGTTTACAAAGCTAGAACATGTTCTTACATCTTGTGGTAATGCATTCTTTTGGTTTTGGTGTAATAAAATAAATAGTATTTATGCATATTGACCGATACATATAATGGTAGAACTGACGAAAAAGACCAAGGTGAACCTTGCCATCATACTTCCACCCGTAATTGGAACCTTTTGGGGGTTTCTATTAATTGCTTGTTACATCGCAGCAGGAGGAGAACGTTAACAGGTAAAACTGATTATGGTTCTTTGCAACAAATAATAAAACTATTTTGCTCATCTATGTTTTATACTTTTTCCAGATGAAGTTTTAAGAGAATCCAAGTGATAAAGAGAATAAAGACGAGAATGAAGATATGGAGCTTGCGGTATTTGAGCTTGGTACAATAGCTCAAGCTACTCATAGTTTTTCATTTCTTTACAAGTTAGGCGAAGGAGGTTTTGGCCCTGTTTATAAGGTCAAATTTACTATATTTTATTACAGTGATATCTATGTATACGACTTTATTGAAGGCTCATTAAAATATTGTAAAATTTTCCTGGGGACACTTCCAAATGGACAAGAACTTGCAGTAAAGAGACTTTCAAAGAGTTCTGGACAAGGATTGAATGAGTTCGAGAACGAAGTAAAGTTGATCGCCAAGCTTCAGAATCGGAATCTTGTGAGGCTTCTTGGTTGTTGCATTCAAGGAGATGAGAGAATGCTGGTTTATGAATAAATGCCTAACAGAAGCCTTGACGCTTTCAATTTTGGTCTCATAAATCACTAGAAAACCTCTAAACATTATCACTTGTGCTTCCTCAATGATCAGGTAAGACGTAGGACTAACATGAATGTGTACTTTCCAGGTCAAAAGCATTCCGAAGTATTAACCTGGTCCAAACGTTTCAAAATTATCTGTGGGATTGCTAGAGGACTACTCTACCTTCATCAAGACTCGAGATTATGGATTATCCATAGAGATTTAAAAGCTACTAATGTTCTACTTGACAGAGAGATGAACCCGAAAATTTTGGATTTTGGCATGGCAAGAGCTTTCGGAGGAGACCAAACAGAAGCCAATACAAATAGAGTAGTTGGAACTTATTAAGTGTACTTTTATGCTTTTTCATTACAATTTGATCCATAAGTCCCAATAAAAACTTCATTTTCTTTATCTGACAACGTTCTGCAGTGGTTATATGGCACCAGAATATGCTACGGATGGGCTGTTTTCAGTAAAATCAGATGTTTTTAGCTTTTTTTGGATTATAAGTGGAAGAAAGAACAGAGGGTTTTATCATGCAGATCAAATTGGCAACCTTATTGAACAGGTAAACATCAACTGATACTATTATCATTATGTTTCGTTACTTCAGCTACCAATGCTAAAAGGTTTAAATTTTGCTGCAGGCATGGATATTATGGAAAGAAGGCAAGCCTTTGGATGTTGCTGATGATTTCGTAGTAGGAACTGGTAATATATCCGAGCTGCTACGATGCATCAACATTAGCCTTTTATGTGTACAACAGCATCCAGAGGAGAGACCGAGCATGTCATGCGTGGTTCATATGTTGGGAAGTCATAATGAATTGCCTTCGCCGAAACAACCTGGTTTCTTGTTTATAACTCATCTAGTCGGTTAGTGAAATTTAATAGAAGTAACTCAATGCTTTCGGTCAAAGAGAAGACATCCCCACTACAACAGTACAATAGAGACGTCTGAACGTCATGATATCACAATGGAGGATATAAACATTCTTGGAGGAACAACAAGAAAATATTCTTGGAAAGATGATCGAGGACTTACCTTTAGACAATTTCAGTGCTCAAGCGGAGTAAAAAGAGCTATGATGTTTACCTACATTAGAGGTGTTGCAGCATTAATATGTATTAAGAGAGAATTTTTTCTAATACCTATTTTCTACATGGTATCATATCGAAGAGTTTTTCCTAATACCTATTTTCTACATGGTATCATATCGAACTTTCGATCCAGATATTTACTTCAATAAATCCATCTTTCTCATTAGAAATTAGGTATGAAATATTACCGAGGTCTTTCCGAGTATATTATTAGCGATACCTCACTTGTACCTATCACATGCCACATGCCGAAGAATAATATGAACTACTTTTTAACATAGGACATGTTATGGAATTATCTTAGATGTTTTAGTAGGAGATGAAAAGTCTTCTATTGATTGATTCTTTTTGGTCGGATATTTTTTTCTCTCACCGCAATAGTTGTTGATGAAAACAAATGAGATGCTCAGCTGTTAGTAATTCACCCCTTTTGGTTTGAGTGGAGAGCACAGTCAATGTTCTAACATAGAGTTGCAGACAGTTAAAGTTGTCTGGTTAACATTGGTCAAGAAAGTCTGTAGAGGAAGAAGAGCCCCCATTTAATTTGGCCGGGGGTTTTCATATAGAGACTCTTAGTGTTTGTGTCAAACATAGGATCATGATTGCTACTCATAGATTGACATATTTGTATAAGTATGACTGTCTATTAGTAGATTTGACTCTAGTAGATTACGTGGGTCTATCAAAGATCATGTAAAGGGAATGTTGGAAATAAACGCACAAGTTCAACAGGAAATACAGGAATCTGGAGGATATAGAATTCTGAAGACCTCAATGCTAGATATGCATAGGAATGACAGTGCGGGTGTGACTTCCGAAAGGGAGGAGGTACAACAAGTACGAATTGATATATGGATCGAATTTTACAGTATTACTTGTGAGATCTTTTTCTGTGCATGTTAAAAGCGGGCAATGAGATATGTTGCTCTTTCTTGTGTTTAACTGAAATCAAAAATCATAATTGGTATATTGTCTAGAAAACAAAGAGAATCTGATACGGTATCGTTGTTGTGATTTGCACTTAGGATGAGAGGTTAATGTTTTCTGGAGCATAGATGTTTGGTGATTATGGCTTTCTTGAATCATATGGAATTTTAGATGTTCCAGATTTTCTTAACAATTTAAACTAATAACCAAACACTAGCATTGTTCTGTTGCGGAAGACGACTATCGGATAGAGCAAAATCGCAACTGATAATTTGAGAAAATAAAAATTGAAGATAAAAGAGACATAAAATTTACATGGAAAACCCCTAAATAATATAGGGTAAAAACCACGGGCAACGGTAGAAGAATTTCACTATGAGAAAATAGGAATTACAACCTCTCTCGATCTACCAAGGAGAAAACAATGATAATTCTCTCTTGATAAAAAGGAGAAAATAACTCTCAAGAAACTCTCTAAATTCTCTCTGGTATTGGAAGAAAGATAGAATGCTTTGGGATGGTTTTGAAGCTAAATGAGCTAGGGTATTTATAGTTGAATTTTTAAGGACTAATCTTGAAAATACCCTAAATTACAATGACTAAATTGTAATTATATTTTTAATTTTTTCCACAAAAGTTGGCTGCCTAAATTTTTAATTTAGCAGCCGACTGCTCTGCCAAATTTTCCAGCCGCCCTTTGTTTACTTTCAACAATCTCCCACTTGAAGATTTGATTGGAACAATCATATCTTCACATCATTCTTTCTACCTTATACCTTTATGTTGCTTATATTTCCGTCAAGCCACAAGAGGATCGATACCAAGTAAATTTATCAGTATTTACCGCTTTCGTCATGAAATCTGCTATGTTGTCGTTGGTATGGATCTTCTGCATATCTACCGTTCTTTCTTCCACATTTTCACGAATGAAATGGTATTGAACTCGTATGTGCTTTGTCCTTGAATGAAATGTTGGATTCCTTGCTAGATGCAAGGCGCTTTGACTATCACAAAACAGAGAGACATACTCTTGATTGTGCTCAAGCTCCTCCAATAACATCTTCAACCAAATTGCTTCTTTACTGGCTTGTGTAGCTGCTACATATTCTGCTTCTGTTGTGGATGTAGCCACAATTGACTGCAATTTTGAAACTCAGCTTACAGCTCCACCAGCAACTTTGAACACATATCCTATAGTAGATTTGCTTTTATCCAAATCCCCTGCATAGTCAGAATCTACATACCCATTGATGAGTAAGTTTGATCCTCCGTAACATAATGCAACATTTGAGGTCCCTTTGATGTATCTCAAGATCCTATTTACTGTATTCCAATGCTCTTTGCCTGGATTCGCCATGTACCGACTAACCACTCCCACTGCTTGTGCAATGTCTGGTCTTGTGCATATCATAGCGAACATCAAACT